CAAACTCCAAGGATTTTCCATCCTGCAGTCATGGGATGGATGTGAATCACAGCTCCTCTCCCCAGCAATCCCAGCCTCCTTCATGAACTGCAGGATCAGCTCCTGCTTACCCAAAGGAACAACTTCTTGCCAAAAACTGATAGTTCTAGGCAGGATTTTTAGAAGTTTTTCTTGAGAAATCCACGGGTTGTGTGGGAGGAAGGGAGGTTCTCCAAGGCAAACTCTCACTGCACACAGCAGTTCCCATTGTCTGCAGTAAGTGTGGAAGAAATCACAATTTTCTTTTACAGATTTTGAGCCTTCCTACATCTCATTTCCCTCTCTTGGCCTTCTGAGTCAGAGGTGAAACGGGTCATAAAAACACAAGGAAAATTTCCTGCTGCCAGGGGTGCACTTTTCACCCCTGAGGAGAGAAAAAGAAAGGACAAACTCTCACCCTGACTCACTCCAGGAAAAAATTGGAGCTCCTCTCCAAGAGGGGAAGTCCCAGGGGTAGATTAATCCCACCAAATATTTGGAGGAACTTCTCCCAGTGCCTCACCATCCACCCCAGGGCTCAGAGGCCTTTTGGCCTGAGGAAAGGGGGCTGGAGAAACTCAGCTGCCATGGCACAGTGCTGAAAACCTTTGGAGTTCTTTTTCCTTGGGCACATCCTCATTCTTTCCACAGCAGTCAAGACCAAACTACAGATTTGGGATGAGATTTTCAGGCAAGTTCCACTCATTTAGGAACCTGGAGCTCTGATTATTTCAGATTTGCCACTAGAAAAGGCCCTGGACCAGAAGTTTCCCACTCTGAACCCAGGGAAGTTCTTACTCCCCTCACCATAAACTTAGAAATCCACTTTATCAATTCTTACTCCATCCCACATCTCTTGAAATTTAGGGTTTGGAGGTGGATTTCATTTGCTTTGAAGTGAAATCTCCCTCTTGAGCTCAGCCACTAAATGGAATTCTTCTTTTATGCCAGCACAGCCCCAGCCCTGCACCTTCCCTGCCCACTCTCCATCCAAGCAAAATTAATTTGGGCAGGTAAAAACTGCTTCAAGATTAAGTTTTTTTCCTTCCCCTCAGCCAGCTCAGCATCAATCAAGAGACCAGAGTCTTTCAAGGCAGAGTCTGCTAGCAAAGAGTTCATTTGTATTTCACAGATTTGTTTCTCCATCTGTTCCCTGACACTGCTCTCCCTTTCCATCACCTTAAACACACTGTCTGGTTTTTTTAAGATATTGATCTTTGTTATTACAGTAAAACCAGATGGTTTGTGCCTCTTTATAAGGTATTTCCTCCTCCAGTCCCTTTGATTCCAGGGAGATCCAAGGAAATAATTTATCAGGTTTCTGCCAGGTTGTGAGAAAGTCTGATAAAATTTCTAAAAGCATCAAAAACCTCTAGCAAGCACACCAAGCCTCAAGGAGAGCTCCTGATGGAGTCCTGGTTGGGTAAAAAAAAAATGGATGGAGGTCAGACAGGAGCCAGCTCAGCTTCCCAGAGGTGCCTGGAGCAGTGGAAAGTTCCCTGCTGATGGCAGGGGGTGGAACAGGATCATCTCTAAGGTCCCTTCCAACCCAAGCCATTCTGTGATTCTGCTCCAAATAACAGAGTTTTAGGAGCCTCATTATTTGTGTAGCTCATCCAGCCCCAGACTTGCCAAGGAGGATCTCATCAGGAAGGAAATAATTCCATTTACTGCTGGATAAAGGGCAATAACAAAGTGCAAACACTGACAAATGGTCAGCTGGCAGAAATCTTGTGTGGTCAATTATCAGCCCCCCCATTGCCAAGCAGATGCTCAAATCACAGCTCATTTTTACATCTGCTCCAGCACAGCCTCAGCAGCATTTAAATTCTTAGGGGAAGCTGCAAATAAATGAATATATTAGGATTTAACAGCATCTAGAAAGCAGAATGAGAGGAAGCACAAGTCGAGCCACGGGGTTCTCTCCCAACACACTGGAGATGGCTCAATGTGAGAAGTTTATTCTGAATATAAAAGGATTTTTTTTTCCAACTAGTCAGTGTGACTTTTAGCACTCAATCACCCAATATAAGAATATGTATGAGATATATGCAGATATAAAAGCTATATATATGAAAAATTGATTTGATATATATGGAAGTTGTATTTATATCTATGAAAATTCTATTTCCTGCAAGTGCAAGGCAGCATGCAGATGAGGGAAAAGACAAAATCTCTCCTGTAGCCAGCTTGGAATTCCCTCAGACAGCACAGCAGCAAGAGCCAGGATCCAAGGAAGAACAGACAGATTACGTAAAAGATGGGATAGCAAAGCAAACATTACCCTGAGACAAATGCCAGGAGATTTGCAACTCAAAACAGAGCTGAAGATTTGTAGCAGCAATATATTAGTTACTGCTTCCCAGAAGGAATTCCCTTGCTGGCTCTAAAGCTGCTGATTTTCCTTCACGAATTCCTTGGGATCACTCAGCATTTCCCATGCAAATGGCACAGGCAGGGCACTGCTGCAGATCCAGGTGCAGGGCACAGCAGCCAGGGCACTGCCAGCCCAGCCAGGAGCTTTTCACCTGGCACAACTGGCACAGCCCACGCTGCCTGTCGGGCTGAATTCCAAGCCTGCAGCTATTTGCAATAAGAAAGGTTTGCACTAATAAGAAAATCAAATTGTGTGCATCACAGACAATGTTCTTCCCCAGCAAAAGAGAGCCGGGTTTCACTTGTCAGCCTGGCTCGTTTAGAGCTCCTCGCCTGATTTTTTGTGACTCACAACATACGTCTTGCATTTTTAATTTGAAAGCAAGAGAAAACAGGCCATTTTAGCTTTCCCTGCTTGTCCCCTCTGCATTACTTATGCTGGATTCATCCTCTGGAAGCAGCCCTGTGGCGATGCAGCTGCTCCTGCTGCCTGCCTAAGTGCAGGCTCCACACACACAACTGTCAGCTTCTTGTGCCTCACAAGAAATGGCAATTATTGCACCCATGAACACTCTAAATAACCACAGGGAGCCGTGGCTGGAAGCTACCAGAATATTTTGCCTCTCAGAACACCCCAGTCTAATGCATCAGGTTTTAGCATTTATATTTTTCAGATTCTGTGCTGTTTCAGTGTGCAGTTCTGAGATTCGTGTTAGGGGATGGTGAGCTCTCTGTACAGAGCAGGGAGAAAAAACAATTCCTCCTCTAGCTGGAGACCAAGGCCAAATGATCCAAATCTCAGGCCCAAGAGCACAAACATGCACTGAAGAGAGAAAAACAAGAAGGATGGGACTTCATAAGCTAAAGCTGTAATTGGACAATTAACTCCAATATGCAAATGGAGCAGAACTTATAAAGGAGAGAGACCCAGTGACCAGATGTCCATTTTGTGACCATTTTGGGTTCATCTTGGGTGTAGCCCTGGCTGGGCTCTTGTGCTGCCCAAACAGCCATGGAGGCCTTTTAATAAATCCCTGCTTTATTCTTTAACTCTGTCCAGCCTCTGTTCTGGGTCAGCCTTCACTGGGCATCATCTGGCGACCACAAAGGGACAGAAAGCACCTGGAAACCCCTCTGGAGCAGAGCCAGAGGAACACCCGGCTCCTGCCGCCAGCTGCACCCAGAAGGTGTCACAAAAACCCTGGGAGCTGACAGAGACACGTGAGCACATGAAGGGTGCTCAGTTCAGCACCTCGGGTGGGTGTGAAGGGCAGTTTTGTACCCCAGAATGCGGGCGGGGTGCGGTGCTCTCCGTCTCCCCCGCTGGCAGCGAGGGCAGACGCTCTGAGAGCCGGGGTTGGATCGCAGTGCTGCCGGTGAGACACCAGCAGGGGTGGTGCAAGGGCTAACTCCTGATCCTGTGACTTTGAAGGGTCAGGGGTTTGAATTTCCCCTTTTTTTTCCTCTCCCTCTGTCCTTGTTTTGTTTTTTTTTTTTTTTTCATTTCTACTCATAACCGTTAAAATATGGGGTGTACATTCCCCTGCCAGTGTTGCAGCAATAATATCCCTAGAGACAGTCCCCTGGGATTAATACTGATTAACTGGGGAGAGATTACCAGGGGGGAGTCATTGTTTTTAAAATCCAAACTTATTAGACTCTCAGAAAAGATCTGGCACCACCCCCGTCCCCCATGAGCTGAAATCCAAACCTCTTTGCAACACCTTCCTTTGCACACCCCCACAGTCAGTGGCTCTTGGATGACACCACTGAGCCAACACAGAAGGTGTCAAAAATAAACCCAAATCTCAGCACTTGAGCTCAAGATTCCCCCAGTGTGAGTCTAAAAACTTGAGCTCAATTTCCCCAGTCTGAATCCAAATCTCAGCATATGAAGTCAAGATTCCCCCAGTGTGAGTCCAAATTTCAGCATTTGAGCTCAAGATTCCCCCATTCTGAATCCAAATTTCAGCACCTGAGCTCAAGATTCCCACAGTCTGAGTCTAAAAACTTGAGCTCAGTTTCCCCAGTCTGAATCCAAATCTCAGCATTTGAGGTCAAGATTCCCCCAGTGTGAGTACAAATTTCAGCATTTGAGCTCAAGATTCCCCCATTGTGAGTCCAAATCTCAACATCTGAGCTCAAGATTCCCCCAGTGTGAGGTTTCAGGGAGTCCTGGTGGTGGCACTCAGTGCTCTGGGCTGGTGATAAGGTGGGAACTCGATGTTCTTGGAGGTGTTTTCCAATGTTGATGATTCTGGGATAGTTGTGAACTGACAAGACCAAGTTAATCCCCAACAGAACAAGCCAGGGCTCAGCTCAGCTTTTCCCAGGGAATACAAACCTGCTTTTGGTAGCATCCTTGATTTTCCACACCAAACCCCCTTCAAAATATTTCCCAGATATCTGCAAAACTCCTCTGAGCCAGCCCTGGAGCCAGGCTGATTCCTGTGCAGGAATTCTGTGCATGGCAGTGCACAAAAGTGTCACAGGCACTTTTTATTCCCTTCTGAAAACAAACACACTCCAAATAAAGAACTCAGGTCCAGCCAGGAGATGAATTTTTCCCTCCCCACCAGCCTCATCCCATCCCACCTGGGGGTTACCTGAGGTAATAGCCACACCTTTCCTCACTTGGATTGGCACAGCCTGGAGAGAAACGTCTCTTTTGCTCAGGCTGTGCTTCTGAAATGCAGGTCCGTTGTTTTGGCCTTGAAAATAATAAATTGTGTTAATTTTTTTTTTAGGTTATTTGTTAAATTAGGTTACAGTTCACAGAGAGGGCAAAGAGCCCTGCAGAACTATGGCAGATGTGGCATTCTTGTAGCACTGTTCTGGGATTGAAAGAATGAAAGTATTTATTTGAGTAAAGCTGCCAAAGATCAACCACGCCGAGAGCAAAGCAGCTGAGCCACCCGGCCGGTCACTGCCCTGCTGACCACAAGGGGAACCCGCAGGGAGCTCTCAAAAAAAAAAAGCTCTTTTTCACACAACAACGCTCAGAATGAGGGGGGAAAGCCCCGATGTGCCGCTTCCAGGAGCGGGGAAGAGCAGCAGCAACATCCCGACCCGCTCTGCTGCTGCCACCTGCAGGGAGCGGCTCCGGGAGGAGCAGCCAGGGAGGCACAAACATCCCCTCTCCTACCTGCAGACCACGGCCCAAAACTGCCTGACCCACCTCCTTTCCCACTTCCCGATATTCTTTCTCCTCTTCCAGTATCTTACAGGGTGAAATGTTTCTTGTTTTCACCACTATTCATTTAAAAATAGAAATAAACCCAGCAACACACGGCCAACAAAGTGGTGGAGGAAGCAGCTGGGATGGTTTTTAAAGTGCAGATTTCCTAAGAAATTACCTTTCTTCCTCCTCCTGTGGGACACGAATTACTTTGCCACTTTTCTTCCAGCTGGGTGGCTCTTCCTGCCCACTCTGGCCTACAGCTGTGTCCCTTAACTGGAAAGGGAAGGAAAAAGGGGATTAACATGTAATACAACTTTTCCATCTAAGTTTTGCTTATAGAGTGATATAAAAATCCACTTGAAAAACCTCCCCTGTATCAACACAGCACTTGTGTGCACATGGACAAATCCAAAGGGATGGGATTAAAAACATTCAAGTTCCAAGAATGAAGATGTGAGTTTACTTTAGTGCTGCCTGGTGGCTGCTCAGCTCCTCTGGATTCCCCTTCAGCATCCTCTGGAGAGCCTGATTTCCTTGACAAACAGCTCACTGTTGCTTTGGGAAGCTCTTTTTTGAGTGGCAACACAGATGCTGGACTCTCATCCCCTCTGCTCTGGCCACAGGGAAGACCAGATGAGAGCACGGATTCTTCCAGGCAATCCTGAGCCAGGCTTTCCTGGCCTTTAGGCATCACCCTTTCTGAGGCTATTTCAATAATGCAGCTGCCAGCAGCTGTGGAATATCCCAAGCAATCATCTATCATGGCATCCAAAGTTTCTCTTTCCAGGTTGTTTTCCTCCAGAGCCTCGTCGGCGCAGGCGGCGGCGAACGGGCTCAGGCTCAGCAGCTCCTGCAGGTCAAGGTCCAGCTCCTGCTGCAGCCTCTGAGCCCCATCCAGAGCAGCAGTGCCTCCCAAAAAGCCAGGATCACACCCAGAGCTGCCTGAGGGATGCTCCTGGGCTTCCTTTTCTTCCTGTGTGACCTCTGAGGCCTCACTGAGCGACGTCCCCACGGTGCAGCCGCTGCTCTGGGTCTGCTCGCTCTTCCCACTCTCACTTTGGCTCAGGTGGCTTTCAGCAGCCAGCTGCTGCTGCTCAGCCTCCATGGAATCATCTGCCAAGATTTCCTGGATCTCTTCCTCCGTGTAATCAAAGGGAGAATTCCCTTTCTCACTGCCTGACAGCTCCAGCAGGGAATCATCCAGCTCGCTGTCGTCGAAGCACCCGCTGATGTCCAGGGAAATGGCCACGTCGTTGTACCTGGACACGGAAAAACCGGCCCCAAGCTCCTCCTGCCCACTCTCATCCAGGAAAAGAGAGTAGCCAGAGCCTGGGGAAGGGAGCAGAGCATTCCCTGCTGGCTTTGGAGTGCTGCAGTCACGGCCGAGCACGCAGGCTTTCTTGGCTGACTGCAGGGCCTGCAGCTGCGCTGTGGAATCCGAGAGCCTCTTGGCCCCGGGGACCGGCTCCGGCCTCAGCCGCAGCCCAGGGGAGGGAGGGCAGCTCTCTGCCATGGCTCTGCGCCTTCCTGCAGCTCTGCTTCCAGCTCTACAGGCTCATCTGCTGCTGGTGGCCTTTGGTCAGCCCTTCCAGAGGAGGAATCAGCAGGAGTCAGCTCCAACCTGCCAGCAGAAGTGACATGCTCGGTGAAAGGAACTCAGCTGGATCCCCAAAAATGCTGGAAGTTAACAGGGAAGGCAAAACCACCATAATTTGATCTCTGTTCTTGACTGGTTTAGGTCCCAAGCCATCCTTCATGCCTGAGTGTTCCCTCAAGCAGTGGAAACCCCCTCAGGCTGTGCCCTCTCCTCCCAAACTGCTGCCAGTCCCTCACAGCAGACCCCAGGAATCCCAAATCACAGCCTTCAACTGCAGAACACGCCTGAGGCGTTAAATAAATCCTCCAAGTGTCTCAACCCCCACCTCCGCCCTTCAGAGATACAAATAAACACATGTAAAAAAAAAAATAAATCTTTTTTTGGGTTGGGAAAAACCGAGCAAAGGAAGAGGAACCCTGACAGGGAATTAGTCATTGAGACACTCACACAAAATCCTTAATTTGGGTGCAGCCCTGGCTGGGCTCTTGTGCTGCCCAAGGTGGATCCATTGAGGCCTTTTAATAAATCCCTACTTTATTCTTTCATTTTGCCTAGCCTGTGTTTTAGCTCAGCCTTCACAAGGCATCAGCTTCTCTTAGCAATCCGTGCCAGGACCTCACAGCGAGGAATTTTTCCCAATATCCCATCTCCCCTGGCAGTGGGAGCCATTCCCTGTGTCCTGTCCCCTCACGCCGGCTTGGAGCCCCTTTAGACACCAAACCCCGCACTTGGGTCACCCCGGAGCCTTCCCCTGTAGAGATTTAAACCTCGGGAGGCGGTATCGCCCCGCTGTGCCCTCACCGAGGGTTCCAATCCAACACCGCCCCGTCCCTCAGCGGGCACCGCCCAACCGGCGCCTCAACGGCACCGCCCCAAGGCGGGGCCCAGCCCGCCCCGCCCCGCCCCCGGCTCCTCCTCCCGGCCCACCCAAACGCAGGGAGCTTCCCCGAGCCACGGGAAAAAAGAGGTAAAACCGCCCAAAATAAACGAGGGAGAATTAAATTCCGCTGAGACCAAGCAGCGGCCGCGGCCCGGCCGGGCCTGGCGGGAAAGGCGCTCACCCGCCGCCATCTTAACGGCGCCAAGGCCACGCCCCCGCGAGCGCGAGGCGCCCTCTGATTGGCGGAGAGCGCCCTCCTTTCTTCCCCCTCTCGTTGCATCGGCAGCTCGGCGCTCGGCAGGCCCAGGCGCGGCAGTCGAGCGCCGAGCGGGGCTGATGCAACCCGTGGCAGGTCGGTGGGACCGGGCGGGGAACCGGGGGGAACCGGGGGGAACCGGGGGGAATCGGGGCTCCGGTAACCGCGTGTCCTGCCCTGCAGCCGCCGCCATGGAGCCCGCGCCCGGCCCGCAGGAGAAATACCAGCTCATCACGCGGAACCTGCAGGTACCGGGGAGGCGGATGGGGCCGGGGCGGCGGCGGCGGGGCTGGGCCCGGGGGGACGAGCGGCGGCATCGGGGCTGGATCTGAGGGACGAACGGAGCTGGATCGGGGTCGGGCGGAGGAATTGGGGGTGGGCGGGTTGGTTGAGGCTGGATCGGGGGCGATTGGGGTGGGAGAGGGGGAACGGGGCAGGACCGGGGCCGGGATGGGGGATCTGAGGAGGGCAAGGCCGGGATGTGACCGAGCGGGATGTGTCCCTCACGGTGTGTCCCTCGCGGTATGACCCCGAGGGATGTGTCCTTCGTGGTGTGTCCCAAAGGGATGTGACCCCGCGGGATGTGTCCCTCTGGGATGTGTCCCTCGCTGTGTGTCCCAGAGGGATGTGTCCTTCGTGGTGTGTCCCTCACCATGTGTCCCTTGCGGTGTGACCCAGCGGGATGTGTCCTTCTGGGATGTGTCCCTCGCTGTGTGTCCCTCTGGGATGTGTCCCTCTGGGATGTGTCCCTCTGGGATGTGTCCCTCGCTGTGTGTCCCAAAGGGATGTGTCCTTCGTGGTGTCTCCCAAAGGGATGTGTCCCTCTGGGATGTGACCCCCCGGGATGTGTCCCTCGCGGTGTGACCCCCCGGGATGTGACCCCCCAGGATGTGTCCCTCACGGTGTGTCCCAGCGGTTTGTGTCCCTCGCGGTGTGTCCCAAAGGGATGTGATCCCCCGGGATGTGTCCCTCGCGGTGTGACCCAGCGGGATGTGACCCAGCAGGATGTGTCCCTCTGGGATGTGTCCCACGCGGTGTGACCCAGCGGGATGTGTCCCTCTGGGATGTGTCCCTCGCGGTGTGACCCAGCGGGATGTGTCCCTCTGGGATGTGTCCCTCTGGGATGTGTCCCTCTGGGATGTGTCCCTCTGGGATGTGTCCCTCCGGGATGTGTCCCTCGCCATGTGTCCCTCGCGGTATGACCCCGAGGGATGTGTCCTTCGTGGTGTGTCCCAAAGGGATGTGACCCCGCGGGATGTGTCCCTCTGGGATGTGTCCCTCGCTGTGTGTCCCAGAGGGATGTGTCCTTCGTGGTGTGTCCCAAAGGGATGTGACCCCGCGGGATGTGTCCCTCTGGGATGTGTCCCTCGCTGTGTGTCCCAGAGGGATGTGTCCTTCGTGGTGTGTCCCAAAGGGATGTGTCCCTCTGGGATGTGTCCCAGCGGGATGTGATCCCCCGGGATGTGTCCCTCACGGTGTGACCCCCCGGGATGTGTCCCTCACGGTGTGACCCCCCGGGATGTGTCCCTCACGGTGTGACCCCCCGGGATGTGACCCCCCAGGATGTGTCCCTCACGGTGTGTCCCAGCGGTTTGTGTCCCTCGCGGTGTGTCCCAAAGGGATGTGATCCCCCGGGATATGTCCCTCGCGGTGTGTCCCTCGCGGTGTGACCCAGCGGGATGTGTCCCTCTGGGATGTGTCCCAGCGGGATGTGTCCCTCATGGTGTGACCCCCCCGGGATGTGTCCCTCTGGGATGTGTCCCTCTGGGATGTGTCCCTCGCGGTGTGACCCAGCGGGATGTGTCCCTCTGGGATGTGTCCCTCTGGGATGTGTCCCTCTGGGATGTGTCCCTCCGGGATGTGTCCCTCGCCATGTGTCCCTCGCTGTGTGATCCAGAGGGATGTGTCCCAGCGGGATGTGTCCCTCTGGGATGTGATCCCCCGGGATGTGTCCCTCGCGGTGTGTCCCTCCGGGATGTGTCCCTCGCGGTGTGTCCCCGCAGCTCCGCGCGTTCTGTCCCCTGCCAGGAGGTGCTGGGCGAGGACAAGCTGCTGTCCATCCTGAAGGAGCGGGAGCTGAAGATCTACTGGGGCACCGCCACCACCGGCAAGCCGCACGTGGCTTACTTCGTGCCCATGTCCAAGATCGCGGATTTCCTCAAGGCCGGCTGCGAGGTGGGGCAGTGCCGCCCTGCTGGCTGGCACCTGCGGCGAGCAGGGACGGCTGCCCTGACCCGCTGTCCCCTGTGCTAGGTGACAATCCTCTTTGCTGATCTCCACGCTTACCTGGACAACATGAAGGCTCCGTGGGAGCTGCTGGAGCTGCGGACCCGCTACTATGAGCATGTCATCAAAGCCATGCTGGAGAGCATCGGGGTGCCCCTGGAGAAGCTCAGATTTGTCCGGGGCACTGATTACCAGCTCAGCAAGTGAGTCCCGGGCAGGCAGTGGGGCCTTGGAGGCTGAGGTGGAACAGAGGCTGGGTGGAGTTAAAGGAAAAAGTAGGGATTTATTGGGAGTGTCTAATATTGTGTGTATGTGTGTGTGTATATATATATACATATATATATATATATATATATAATATATACTATAACATATAATAATATATAATTGTATAAAAACAATATTACATATTCTATATGTAGAATATAAATATAACATTGATATATAAGGTTTATTACATATGATATATTTTTATATATGTATCTAATACTATTATGTATAATTCAGTATTATCCATAAAATATATAATATCCAGGAGGCACCTGCAGGCTTTGTCCCCTGTCATTGTGACCAGGAGCAGCTCTCAGGGCTGTCCCCATGCCCATGGTGACAGTGCTGTGACCAGGAGCAGCTCTCAGGGCTGTCCCCATGCCCATGGTGACAGTGCTGTGGCCAGGAGCAGCTCTCAGGGCTGTCCCCATGCCCGTGGTGACAGTGCTGTGGCCAGGAGCAGCTCTCAGGGCTGTCCCCATGCCCATGGTGACAGTGCTGTGACCAGGA